CAAAACTGTTATGACATTTGTCATATGAATGGCTAATAAATATGTTTTATACCTTACAGTTTTTTTTATAGAATAATTGATTCTTATTTTATAAATTATTTATTTAATAAAATTAAAATTATTGTTTTTTAAAGTAATCTCATTATTAACAATAAGATTATTTTGAGTGTTTTATATTTGGAGTTTTTTTTTCTATGCAATAAAAAACAAAGTGATTTAAGATTATCAATAACTTATAATAGTACTATCACAACATATAGAACCATGGACTTATCGTTAGATATAAACTAAATGAGTCACCACTAATTTCTTTTGTTTAGGTGTAATTGATCACCTGATAGAACTGTCCTATATAAAGAGGAATCCTAAGATTAGGTATTTTTAAATAGTAGATTTCAGTTTACAAAATCAAATTTCAAATTCAGAAATGCGGTTACACATGAGGAATGTTATAACACCCTCACAGCATTCATCCAAATGATGGTATCAGTTTGATTTCAAATTATCCAAGCCTTAACCATTTTTATGATTTATCTAAATATTTATATTGAAAATTAATATTAAAATTACTCCAATAGTTTAGTAGCAATTTAAGATAATTTTCTTACCTCAAGAGTATTCATGGGGACTAATGTCTCACCCTAAAGAGGCTTCGTTGTCAGATTCATTTAAATTTTAGTTAAAAAAATAATCAATAAAATCTTCTAATTATTTGATAAGATTTACTTTAAGATGTAAATTCTCTAATAGTTTGTAAGATCATAACAAATATTTTATTAATAATATTTTTTTTATAAAATTAATTTATGAGATTTTTCAATAATTTGGTAGCATTCAAAAAAATTTTAAATTCATGAAAAATCCTCCAATAAATTAGTAAGATTCATGAATTTATTTTAAAAACATTTTTTAGTTATTATTTTTAAATAAATAAATAAATAAAATAAAGTTCATAAAAGTATTTTTAAAAAATAAATAATAAAATTTTCAATTTAAAATAATAAGTAAAATAATAATAAAAAATGAAAATAATAATAAGTAAAAATAAAAAAATCTAAAAATAAAATAAAATCAAAACAAAAATAAGATGAAAAAAAAAAAAGAAAAACTACGATCGGGTCAACTAGAAGCGTGAATCTTTACGGGATCATCGGATTTAAGTAAAAACTTCAAACTTTAACCGAAAAGTTCGTCATGTTCAATGTTTGTTGGAAGAGTAGCATATCAATAGCCTTTGGTCTCCATATCTTGATGTCAGTCTCGATTCCACTGCTAGCAAGAACAGTGGTATGAGGATGAGACTCGATGCAGTTGACCACATAGTTATCTGCTTCCATAACACGAATGAGCTCTCTGCCTTTCTTCTTCCAAAGAAATATTCAGCCACAGTCAGATCCACTAACCACATACTCAGATTTAGGTCCAAAGAAGGTCACACCTTTCAACGTCTCCTGATTTCTGTCCCTTATAAACTTGAAGGATAGCTTTTTCATAAGCATCCATAGCTGAATGATCAAATCCCATTTCACTTGCTTCACTACATGCAGATAATGGAGATGATGGGACTGGATTGGCCCCAGTCCCATATCCTGTGTAAAGAGATAAATGAACTCATTTATGTAGGTGACGAGAAGCTCACTCTGATCTGAAAATGCCAAGCCTGTTATTCCAACTTGATCATCACCAATCAAATGACGGGGGCAAAAATAATCTTTAGGTTGACCAAAATCAGTTAAGCCATCCCACTTATATTTGTGAATATCATAAAGGCGAGTATACTCATCCGTTACTGCAACTGCAAAGAGATATGGGTTCCTTGGATCAATTGCAATAGCATTGAGAGGGATAACTGGCATGTAAGCCCTGCTATCATCAATGTGAGGGCACGTGAAAAGTTTTGTGGATGTGGCAATTCTAAGATCAATATGCTGCACTAATCCATCTTCACCGCAAGTGCAAAATATACGAGGGCTTCCTGGTTCAATGGCCAAGTTATGAGCTCATCCTTGATGTTTGGCCAGCAGCCTAGTTTTGACACCATGTTCCAAAATTTGAGCATGTCGAACCTGCCCATCTGCAGCGCAGGTAACCAAGCTGCGATCATCTGTGTAAGGCATGATTTTTGCTTGTTCTTACTTGATTTTCTTCTGGGTTGGGATCAATCGACCCTCGAGTCTCTTTTTTGTTGATCTGGATCGAAAATGGTTTGGGTATGAGTATGGATGGTTTCTGATTTGATGGATGAAACTGAGTAGTTCACAATGGTATAAGACTCTCAGGGTATTAGTGAACTGGTTAGGAAATGTAGCTGGAGTCAAGTCTCATTCGACTCCTCTGTGTTTTTTTTTTTCTGTTTCGGTTTATGGTATTATGTATAAGGCTGTGTGTGATGGAAAACAACTTTCAATGCAATTCCTTGTTTCCGTTGGAAACTGCTTCAACCTTATTGCTTACTGTGATAGGAACCGCTTGGTTTTTGCCAAATCAAAAACTATATGCTTATTGGCCGTGATTCTTGATTGCTAATGGTAGCTTGGGGATGGGAAAAGAGACAGTGGAAACTTGATGGTGCCTTCCGGGTCTGGACTGTGGGGATAGAGGAGATGATATTGGGTTTGACCATAGGGGCTTGGTGAGGGCTTGGCTTGGGATTTTTGTAAATGACCGTGTGATCACATATTTATAAATAAATTCATACTAAATCATAGATTTATAAAGAAACTCATATTAAATTAATTCTCCTTAAATCTATGATTTTATTTGATTTAAGAATTAAATCCTACAAATCTCTCAACATCATTTTGATGTGAATTAATTATGAAATTGAATTCCAAAAATCTCTCAATCATTTTTACTAGATTTCATTAAAACTTTTCCTTCCTTTTTTTTAATCTTTTTTTTTTAGACAAAAGTAAGATTAAACCAAAAATTAAATTAAAAAAGATATTTTCAATTTAGCCCAATTTATGATTGAGATCTGTTTTCAATTCAAAAGAAAAAAAATTCGGACAAAATGAGATATTTATAAGTACATTAAATATAATATCGGTAAATAAAATCATAATAATTTTTAAAATAATAATAATAATAATGATTATTATTATTATTATTATTATTATTATTATTTAAACTTCGTTTATAAATATAATCTTTTAAAAAAAATAAAAGTGACCTCACGCATAAGGGACAATTAATAGAAGAGTTGAGATTTTTCTTTCTTTTTTTTTTCTCTGTAGACTTAATAGATTAGACAATCATAATCAACCTCTGTCACATCCTCTATTTATCCCACCTGGTTAAACTTCCATTTAATGAATTCTAGCAAGGGTAAAATGCACTTAAAACTCTCTTTGTTTTTAAATTTTGTTCCCATAATGCCCTGTAATTTTTATTTTTTTAATTCGTATTTTATGGTAAATTATTTTTGTTCCCATAAAGAATTATACTGTTAAATTTTTAAAAATTATTAAAACATAGGGTGGGTGGAGGGAAAAACTCAAAATCGAGACCTCAATGTCCCTCCTAACACTCTTTGATCACTAAACCAGAAGACATGAGATTATTAAAATATCCCTTAAGTGTGAACAAATAAAATATTTTTTGAAGGGAGGTTATTTTGATAATTTTAACATATAAATTACCATGTAACCCCCTAAAAAAAGAAGTAAATAATGTGATACTAAATAATAAGGAAGTTTTATGAAAATATAAAGGTTTTAGTTTCAAGTCAAGATCTCTTTTTTTTTTTTTTTTTAATTTTTATAAAGGGTATGCCCTCCCCTGAAAATAAAAAAATCACAAAAGTTTAAACCGTTATAGATGTAAGTGGAGTAACATTTCAATAATTGAGATAAGAGATGTGATAAATAATCAGAACTTGAAACTTGAAAGTGGAGAGAAAAAAAATATTATCCTTTATTTATCTATGATGAAAATGTCCATTAAGTCCTTAACTAACTGTAAATTTATATACTTTTTTATTTTATTTTTTAAATGACTATTACATATAAAAAAGTGGTTAGCTTAGTTAATATCTTAGGCAATAATTTATGAAAGAATGCTAAGTTATAAATAAAATTAAATAACTTATTTGTTTTACAAAACCATTAATTTTTTGGTATATATTTTCAAAATTATTTGAAATTATTAAACTCACATGAAGCATGAGTAAATGTTGCTAGTATGTTTTAATAGCCCATAAGATAGTGATTAATAATTATTTTTACTCTCTTCATTTCAAATGGAATATGCATCTTTAGAATGTTTCAAAATAATTTTCACTTTTCAAAGTGAAAAACACTTCTTAACGCTATGTACTCCCTCCTGTCCCATTATGTTGTTAGTTTTTAGTAAAACGAATTTAACTTTGACACTTATTTTTAATAAAATTTATAAAATTAAAAGAATAAAAATAAGATTTTAAAATTTTGAATCTTAAAATTTTCAAGACATTTTTTGAAAATTTAGTTTAATATAATATTTTTAAAAATTAATAGTCAAAGTTGAATTCATTTAATTAGAAAAATCATGCATGAATAAATAAAATGAGACTGAGAGTATCGACTTCTCAAATTTTAAAACTTTAAAGGTAATAGTTGTAAAGTAAAGATTAAGCAATAATCAATTTGAAAGAAGGAATTACTATAAGTTTTCCATCGAAACACCATACTGAAAACACAAAACTTACAATTACAACATTTCGACTTAAAGATACTAACATACAATAGCAACTTCAACATTTCAACTTAAAGATATTTACATACACTAACGACTCGGCCCTGGGTAAGTAATCTAAAAACCAAAGTAAAAACAAAACAATGACAACTTCAATCTAATTTCATATATACATACATACATACATCATACATGCATACACATACATACTTCATATATTGAAGACACACAATCACAATACTGAAATCTTATTAAGAGAGTGAAGGGAAAATACTAAAATCGATTTTTTTTTTTGTTGGAAGAGGGGGTGCTGGGGCGAGTTGAAGTTATTTCCGAAATGCCAACACGGTTTGGATCAAAGTGAGCACAACCACCATAAAAGCAGCGACGGTTCCAGTTCCTCTCCAAAGATTGGTGAAATACACACGCTTTAGAGTTCCTAGATTATTCGTACAGAATCTTATTATTCGGTGCTTCAGATCATTTTCGTACTCGTTTAGTTTAATCGCTGTTTCCTGATACGAAAGAGGAGCCTCGCCAACTCCTTGCATAAGTTTCTTAATCATACCTGCTAGCGCTTTACTGGGATTTATTCTGCTGACGAGAATTCCCTCGTTTCTGCCTTCATTGCTTAAAATCTTATTGTCCATTAACAAATCTACATCTTTGTCAGTTTTAATGAGATAATTCATTAGTTCTATGTAAGCACAAACGTAGGCTTCACCTGGACAGTGGCACATCTCGAAGGCCATGACATTGCGAATATAAGCTTCAGTGTTGGAGTGCACAGTGAATTCGGGGATTTTAAGCTCTTTCCCTTCAAATTTTATATCAAGCAAGCATGCACTTTGCTTATGTAGAGTAAACTTAACACCAACTTCACTCAACTTTGTCGCACTATGCACCTTTTCCAACGAAAGGGTCTGAGTTTTTCCTTCTTGGACCATGGATGGATCTGATTTTGTCGCACTATGAACTCCTTCCGACGCAGAGGTCCAACTTTTTCCTTCTTGGGCCATGGATGGAGTTGATTTTGTCGGACTATGCACTACTTCAAACGGAGAGGTCTGAGTTTTTCCTTCTTGGGGCATCGATGGATCTGGGTTTGGGCGGAAGTTTTTGACCCAATGGGATCTTTGCAAAGCGGTGAAGTGTTGGATATTCATATCCTGGAACTGTTCATCCCATGCAATATCAAAGTAGTGGCAAGCATGTCGAAGAAAGGGAAGAGCAGAGGCATGGGAAGCGCAGGCTGAATCTAATTTGTGTTCACGAGTACGATATGACCTGTACAGTTCTTGTAGGATAAACAAAGGGATCTGATTTTCAAGTAACATCAAGTCCCTCCGAAGACCAGCTGGCCACGTTCCATCTAAGAAGAAGTCTTTAATTCCCGAGTTGTTTTCCTTATCCTTTTCATAGTTCCTCAAGAAGAGCTCCACGATAAAGAGCGCATCATAAAATATCATCCGTACAAACTTTTGTTCTTTTTTTGTTTTTGTTTTGTTATTGTGTTCAGTGACGCTCCAAAATTCGTCAATGATGGATGATGCTTGATAACAGTCGCGAATATTTTTTTCATTGCCTTCAATGTAGTTCCAAAATTCCTCCAAAGTCTTTGTGGAAGTCCTTTCACGAAATTTCCTTCGATAAACCAACTTATACTGGGCCATTTTAACCAAATTTTTTTTCCTGTAATGAAGAGGACCTATTGAAATTAATTGAGGAGTGTAGGCTTTTTCGTTTCCTTGACGAATGTTCTTGGGGACCTCGTAAATATACCCTTTCTCGAACCCATGCTCCAAATCACCATCTCCCAAGTCTGCCGATTCATTCTCGTTACAACATTTAGGGGCGCCTAGAACGTCTAATGGGTCCCACGCCGATGGCATTTGTTCGAACTCCTATTCATGTAAACAAAAAATTAACACTGACTAGTTAGCAACAGAACCAAATCCTGATTATTCGCATTTTCTCTCCTTGCTGCTAATATAAGTTCTTGTTTTTCTCCTTAATTTGAACTCTATTCAAACGAAATTCATCCCTGCTAAAGCTAAATACGTTTCAAATTTAGTCGAATTTGTAATAGTTGGTTCTTCGCCAGCATTCGGACAACCACGAAAATTATATTCCTCCTATTAGAAACTTAAAATATTAAGGCATGGTAAATTTGAAAAAGAAAAGTACTATTTATGTTTAAAATTAAATGTTGTTTGTTTCTTTTTGAGTCATTTCAAAAGTATGTTCGTTTTTTTCTTTTTTTAATATCTACAATTAGTTTTTAGGTTCTATATCATTTTTAATATATATTTTTACAATAAATATTGTTTTTTATCAATATTATAATTAAAAAAACACACTAAAATTAAAATATTTTTTAATCTACATAATAAATAAACCTAATTATTCAATATAAAATGAAAGGAGCAAAAAGAAAGCACTTTCATATCGGTCGGTCATTTCTTTCCCGAGTGATGAAGCGTTAAAGCCACAAAGTTTAAAAGTTATAGTTTAATTTAGTTGATTTATGTAATCAATTTTTAAAATATAATATTAAATAAATTTAAAATTTATATTTCAATACTTACAACTCATACCCCTAAAGATGATAACAAATAAGATACCTGCTAATTTTGGGTACCCATTCTCAACCTTGATAAATATTTGATTTTTTTTTTTTTTATATTTGCTATTTGAAATTTACCCATCTAATATACAGATTATCCATTAACCACCTAAACCCGTTAAATATATATTTATAAAGTAAAATTTTGACTTTCAAATTGATTTTAAAATTGATTTTAAAGAATATTATTAAAAGATTAAATTAACAAATAAAAATTAACTTATAAAAATTAAATTAAATTTAAAAATTATAATTACAACACTTAGAGAATTAATTTAGTTAGGTATTACATTAATAATAAATAATTTATAAATATATATAATATTAGAAAATTATTATTTATAATTGGGTTCAAAGTAGTGGATACTCTAAGAATACCATTCGACTTCTACTAGAACCCTGATAATATTTTTACTATCTGAATACTATTTGAACCTGATTATAAAATACCTTAATCCTACTTAATTAGATAGGATAATACAAAATATTCGTTTATAGGGTATCCATTATCGTATCCTTACTTTTATCATTCTCAAACTCCAGACTTCCTGTAAAAAAAAGCTTTCCTCTAACAGGTATCTTGCTTGTTCGCTGCATACAGGCAACGACCAAAATTATAATATTAAATGCCATGATTTTTAAAATTTGAGGTGTTTTTACGGT